TCTGGTCTCACTCTGTCACAATCCTATCTTTACATGCTGCATGTTTTCAAATCGGTCCCCGTGTTCCGCAAACTTCTCAAAATTTTGTGATAACGTGACTTACCAAACTATATTTTATCAAAATACTGGCTTAGGAAAATGCCATTTCATAAATCAACTTTAACTTTGTTTTTCTCCAAGTGGTTACCAGAACTTTGCATATTTTCTTTTCAACCTTCCTTTTTTTAAAAAAAGTTTTAATTAAAAGCGCAATTGTTGAAGCGCAGTTTTGCTGACGAGGCTGCTTGCCTGAAAACTCGTCTACAAGCGATCGATTTGGACAGCTCTAGCGGCTGGTTACCTCAAAACCGCCCCGAAAAAGACTTTGGATTTTCGACACGAGTCAAGCGCCTATCAATTTCACGCTTTTTGGTTCACAGGGTGCTGCGGCAAAATCGCCTACGGTGGTAGTATTTCAAGGCAGACGCATTCGACCACAAATTGTTACCTTGGCTTAAGCTCAGACTACTGTCGGCAACATTTGCCACTCATAACACAGTGTCATGCCCGCCTCATTCGTAGGTTGTTCCGAGCCCATGCATAATTAGCTGCAGGTGACTGTTGTTATAAATTTTTAATTTTGCGCAATAATTCATACCTGAGTAAAATGTAGAGCCAGACAGATCTCAGCCTGGCTAAATATTTAAGCTGGTAATTCTACGGTTATTGTCCTGACTACGTGAGTTTAATGTCGTCAATTTCTCAGCATCTGTTCTTTTTTGAAATATGCGAAACTAATAAATTTGTTAAATGGGTTAACAAAATGAGAAAAAAATCCTACGAGGTATTCAAACAGTCCATAAGAATCAAGTGATCTGCTGGTTATAAGTCAAGTCAATACATTACGTCACTAAAGCTTAATTTTAAGCTCCAAAATATTCTTTGGTCAAAATTATATTTAATTATGAATAATTCGACAATTACAATGGTCTTTTGTGGCTTTCTAAGACTTCGTGCCAGTTAAACTGATTGCACATTTTCTTTTAAATTAAGCCAGTGTAACTCTGTTGATAATTTTAGGTATAAATTTTTACGATTTTAAGAACTCGTGTTTGTAGTGCGATTTATTTCTGCATTCAGGCGTTTAGATGTATGGTAAAATGCTACCTTACCTGCAGCAAATGTTTAACACTTATCATGCAAAAAACGCGATTTCTACCAGAGGTTGTTTGAAAACTGGTTCCACTAAGTAAAGTACATTTTTCAAGGAAATGGTGTCATCTAAGTGGACAGTGTTACAGAAACAACAAGAACACAAAATGCTGTTTTGTAGATTTGGTTAGTTGTTAGTTAACACTGGGTGATTGATTAATCTTTATTTCGTACCAAGCCACACTTGCACACTCCTCCTTGTGAAACATTCAACTTGGCAATACTTTGCTGCGCCTCCATCCAACACTTCAGATTTTAGAGATGGAAAAATCAAAAGACTGCACTAACCTTTTGTAAGCTGTCTTAATGCTTGATTGCGCACACTATTTTTTGATGGAAATTCCCTGTTAATCGGTCTGGAAGAATTGCTAGCTCTGCCTTGGCATTTCATGAAAATTAATCTGTTTGTGTGTTTAAGATTTCACGTTACATTTCTGTAAAATATTAAAGTAAATTATTTGTTATCTGCACAATTGGAACGGTTCTTTGGCTTACCGAGTTCCAGGCGAATTTCAGCTGACATGCGAAAATTTTCCTGTGACCGATTACTTCTCCTCTTCTAGTTACATCACCTTCTGTTGGTTAGAGGCAGTTGCACATGCTCTTGTACGTAACCCTCTTATTGTAAATATGTCAAGGCAATGTTGTATCTCGAACCATCTATCGCTAACTCTTTTTTAATCCAAAACTTTTGCCTAGCGCACTTCCTCCAAGTTGAATTCTTTGAACAACACCGCTTTACGAAACATGTTAGGTATCTAATTGATACCACAATTTACGATTATGTAGCTAAAGCTTTTCAATGTAAGTAAAAATGAATGCAGAGTTTTTAATAGGATCCGGATTTTACGTAAAGATGGTTGCTGGTGTGCCATGTCTGTGACACCAAGTTGGTGTATGTAGATTTGGGGTTGAATTGAAATCGGTTTATTACTGCGAAAGCGCTATAAAATATCTGTCGACAGTTAACACTAATGATGTTCACATTTAAGCAGTCTCTGGTACAACTTTTTTCTTACATCAGCTAGCATCCGTTTCGAAGTTATCTCAGTAAAATTGTCAAAAAATTCAAAGAACTTTAACTTCAATTATAAAGTATGCTGTCGTAGCCAACCTACTACTCCCTCATGCATTGGGTTTGAGGCGGATTCGGAGTTAATCTGTTGCCTTCTTCAGCCCCTTATTCAATTTTGCGTTTCGACATCCTTGGCTGCGTTCACGTATGGGGGCTTTAAGTTTTTTGGAGAGAACTTCGACTAAATGACTGCGGCTGCGGGCTGCTGCATTGAGCCTTTTGTTGGCAGGAGGCGCTCAAGCTTGACCAAAGCAATAAACGAGATCATTCACCTTAAGTAATTTGTGCACTCGAATCGATCGCAGGCTCATCTGGGGATCTAATTAGTCAACACCCTCTCTAAATCACGAGATCTTATTAAGAGTGGCCTTTTCAAAACAGAGATACGCAAATCATCTTCACAAAAGGGTTAACCTTTGTTAAGGATCGTCTTGTTCGTTGCTTCTCAAAGTCGAAAAAAAAATGAAAACCAAGGTTTTTTTTAAATTTCAGCAGTTTAAGAATAATCGAACGCCATTTTTGATAACTAACAAGATGATCTTTTTGTGACCAGTTCCAGGTACATTTTGGCAAACTTGTCTAATTATCGGCCACGTAATTGACGATGACTGCGCTTGCTTAATTATAATTGACTACTTCCTGGACTTTTCTACTCCCGTATTCTGTACTTTAGAAACTCATATGTTAAAAAGAGGGACTTTAATGATTTCCTTGTGCTTAAATGTATGTTGAACTTCAATTAACTAATGAGCTAAGTTAATTAGTTCACGATACTTTGATGACGAGTGTCGTTTGAAAGACGATGACTGAGCGCCTGCAAAGATTTATTGAAATATGCATTTCGTGGTGAGTTTAGTTAGAGGTCCAACGATGCGCTGACTCCCGAGACTGACAAAAAGGCTGACATAGTGGGGAGAATCGGTTCTAATAAGTGAGCAAGTTATCATCACAGTCGGGGAAACTCAACGGAACTGACGTCGCAACTTCAGATGGGAAACTGGAAATTTTAACCGTGGTCTGCTGAGAAGTACAGGAGTTTCGGTGATCACTTGTCCGTCAATGTTGGTGAAACGACTGATATATTGACTTCTGAATCGATTAGGATTCATAAGCTGAAAGATATGTTGTAGATGTGAAGGCGGTGGTCCTAAGGCATGTTGGCAGAAGTCGCCACTGCCATCAGGTGTCCTCGTTGGCCAACTAGTTTTCGTGGGTTTGAAGCGGTATTTGTACACTAGCGCTGATACCGGAGGGCCATACTACCGATGGTTAGCTTGTACCTCCACACATCTGGATAAGTAAGCCGCTAAAGGGACATGTGACGCAACTGTGGATGTTTTTGGGTGAATGCGTGATTGCGCACCTCATGTTGTAGGTGGTGGGATTTCAAGGCGTTAATAATTGCTTACATTTATTTGAGTAGCTTGCCATGACTTACTACACCTCGAGTAGAGTTTGGTTGCTGATCGAACTTGTCGGTTTGTTTGCCTTACAGGTATTCGCCATGTATGCCGATCGGATATCAAATTAAAAAAAGTGCCAGGCCACCAACTTTAGATGGCCATCAAGTTTTTTTTTTCAACCTGTTCCTTCATGATTAGATGCGAAGTACCTAGCGAAAACTGCCCTTTTTAAGGCTGCTCGATAGAGTTCATTTTATATTGGGTTTATTCGTGGGTATTTATAGTCCGTGGGTGTGAACAGCAGGGTGCTAGTGACAATGATTTGTAAACATCATGAATTGGTGGGGATTACGGGGTGTGTGTACACAGGTGCATGGTAATGCGGTCCTGTGTAAACAGTCAGACTCAGCAGGCAACTAGGGAATGAGCGAACACTAGCCGGGATAGGCGCCAACCACTCACGACAGTCACCCTAACATTAACAGTCCATAATCTGCCTGCAAACGGTCAGCTGCGTCGAAGGCCCCCCTATCATCCTTCCATGAGGGTCCTACTAACAACCCAGGCCATGATCCCCCTCTGTCTTCTTTCGCTTAAAATGCAAATGTACACTTCTCGAGGTGGTACAGGGTAAAATATCGAATTCGGATGAAGTTAGTAACCATAGGTGAAGGCAGATCCAAATTGGTCTTTTCTTTAGTTGATAATTGTATTCCGGTGTAGGCGAACAATTAGTAATACTCACGAGGTCTATCTTATTGTCATAGCGTGTTGATTTGGCAGAAGAAAATTATTCAGACTCATCTATTTAACTTAAAGTGACAGCTCTAACGCAAAAGATCTCCATCAATCACTAACATCGCAGTTTCTAACAAAGTCATTATGCATCCAAGCCGAGTTCACGCAAATTATCCCAGGATTATGCAGGGAGTGATATCGTAATTTTTATGGTACTGCAAGACAGACGCTACAAAAATTGTTCAATTCTTCACGAAGTGAAACACGATCCAGCTCAGTTGGTAGGTCAAGGAATTATCTCCCATCATCTGGCACGAGCCAAAAAAACAAAGTGTGGACGGTTTAACTTCGAATTTTTTCATTTCAAATTTCTGAGAATGCAACTTCTTAGTTAGGGAGTGACTTTCGGCAGTCGGATTCCGGCACCTTAGTTGGTTCTTTTTTTAGTCACATCGGAGTGTGCTGGGCATTCTTTTTACGCAGACTACGTTTATTTAAAGTACATGGCCTTGAAGTTGAAACTTAGCTAATTATGAACCATTTCCATTCAGATGGATTCACTAATCCACGAAATCGTTTTCTTTTATTTTTAGCAGACTCCGATGAACTGCACTGTCAATTCAACTGCACTGTGCTGTCGTCGCCTGGGGGAATTTATTGAATCAGCAAAACGCGCCGTTGAACTGCACGTGAAGTCCGTGCGCCTGGAGACCTACAACTCAACCCTCGTAGAACTCTCCAAATCAGTCGATAAAATGGCTGATCAGGAATATGCGGACGTCATGGCCGGCGCCACCAGCCTGATAACTGCATTTACACGTTCCATCCATGGACGACGCGGATCCAGCGTCACTACTGCAAAAACGAGGATGAGTTCAGTTCGCAGCGTCTGCGAGGGCTTGCGTCAGGGCCTTTCTTTGATTTCCCGCACAAATACCCTCCTTGCAAGTGAATTCGGCCCGTATGTCCCACTCCCGGAAAGCCCTCGTCGTCACTCGCTCATGGTTATCTCCATTTTAATTGCAGCAAGTCACATTGTAAATTCTGGACTCCTTCTGCTTTCGCAATCCGATTTGTCTCGTTATACTCACGCAGAATTGTGGGACATTACTCGTGGAATGGAAGAATTAAGCAACCTGACGGAGCGTGTACAAGAACAACTTGACGAGAAAAAGCAGTTTTACCTTCGTCGGCTTCTTCTGGATGGTTGTCCGCATAGAAACAGTACTCCTTCAATAGAACAACGCTTGTCCGATCTTTGCATTCTCACCGATCCGATCGATAGCATAAGGCCGGCCTCAGTTGGTCACATAATTTACCTCCTTGCTCGTTATCGTTCGGCCAAATTAGCTCATACACTTGCAGCTGATCTTCATCAGGCTTTAAAGGATCCCAAGGAAGGCCTCGATTTTCTCACTGAAGCAGTAAGGAAAGAGTACGAATTTTGCTCTAACTTTCTTGACGTAATGACCCAATCTACGGAGTTGCTACGCAACCTTCGAAAGGCTCAAGAGTGTGCTGGCGGGCATACAAAGAGCGTCCCGCAGAAAGCAAACAGCCATGTGTACATTCAACACAGTAACCTTAAGGCCCATCGAAAGCCAGCGCTTATTGCGAAAACCGAGTCAATTGACAACTTCATTTCCACGTTTCCTGATAACCCATCCAAACAGATAAGGCCAATTACCTCAATCAACGAACAAGACGAGGAAATTAACGAGAGCCATCAAAAGAAGGCTGTCCAATGGAGCGACTACTACGAAGTCACTTTAAGACACCAGGTTGTTGGAAGGTATCTGCAGCTGACTTGGATCGGATTTAGTGAGGAACTGGATGGAGCATTTCAGTTGGTCGGACTAACATTCCCGAGTGACCCGACTATGGATTCCACGCCCTGGCCCCTGCGAAGCAGACAGGAGGTCCGCCAACTCGTCAGTAGACTCCACGAAGTCGGCAAATGTGGTGAGTAAGACGTCCTTTTCCTACCATAGATTGTACTGAACTGAACTGATTTATCTAGTTAGCTTAAATAAATATTATTTTAGCTAAAGGACACTTTAAAAATTAGGTATTGTTTTTACAATTTTAATTACCATAGCCTTTGTCTGTGAGTTGGTTCCCCTGGAGATAAATTGTTTGCACCACATGTTTATTAAGTGTTCATATCTTGTTCTTGCTCTTCCAATAATCCAGACCACACTGGCCTGACTGCATTTAACGTCCCCAAGTTAGAATTGACGAGTCTAAATCGTTTGGCTGTGATTGATGCTTCGGATGTCTGAGGCATCAGCCGTTTTTCAAGTCTTTTAAAGCTGTTTTCGGGTTGAAATTTAAAGCCTCTATGCTTAACATCATGCGTGATATATGCGTCCTCTATTGTGAAGCGAAAACTTATTTAAGACTTCATTAATGGTGTCAACTGTTGTAGTGGGTGGCCAGAGTTTGCAAACGTCTAGGCAACTATTCATAACAATGTTAAGCATGGCAATGTGGCTGACTGCGCACGAAAAAGTGGCAAAGAGGACGCCAATTTTGCCTTGTATTGGTGATCTGCTTTACTTTTATGCTGAGAAAATAGCTGGAGAGTTCTTAATGGAATGATAGACCCGATTGATCGTCTCATTTTTAGTGATTCCACTTGCCGAAAAGCCAGATTCTCGAGTGCAGGTTTCTGTTAAAATCGGTGCGAAAGCCTAAGTGTTTCGTAGTTTAAGTGTTTGAGCCCATCAACAGCCATCCTATCTGAAGGCTTTTACAATACAGACCTTGAGCTTTTGCGTTCGAAAATGTACCTAATTGCCGATCAAAGTATTCGACTCACGCTTAATGGTGAGACAATAATTTACTACACAGCCCTCCGTGTCATTCGATGAGGTTGCATGTTACAATGTCTGGTGACACGTCGATTTCGCAATCGACTAATTCGTTTATCGGTGTGCGTGTGTCGAGCTTGGCTGTAATGGACTGTAACATTTATGATCAGTGCGCTTTTTTTTAAAGAAGGTCTCCCGTCACTATTTAAACACGGGATCTGTCGGCAGGCAGAGAGATTGCGAATAGCTGCCGATTCTCACGACTGGACTGACTGTAAGTCCCCATTCCTTCCTCTCCTGCGTTTCTATCGTATTGGTTTTGAAAGTATAAGCTGTGGACACACAAATATTGGCGTCTTATGCTTAAACTGTTTCATAGGTAAATGTGCTTCATCCCCTATCTCAGAAACGCCGCACTTGGCCTGTTTACAACGCTAAATTTTGTAGTTCTGCCAGAATTTCCCTGAATAATATCCACGTCATTTTTGGTTTTAAAAATAATCCACGTACTTAAATAGAAATAAAGCTTTCGTAGTCGATAATCCCTATGGAAATGTATAAGATCCACAATTTCATGGACAGTTCTTATTTATTCCGCCCACACTAGACTCAAGAGAAATTATATCATGCTTCGTTGCGTTCCAATTTCAATAGCTGAACTGGTGATGTTGCTTTAGGTATTCTACGAAACTATAAGGCTGCCGAATTTTAATTTAAAACCAACTTACGGAGGAGCCGTGTCTAGTGGGAGACTTGAAAACTTTTTTAAGTGGGCCAAACGAAGACTTTTTTGCACACCATAAGCTTTTTTTTTCAAAATATCTGCTCCTGAGTAGAGAAGACTGGACCAGGTCAAGTGCCATGTTAATTTATCATGATATCTTGACAAAAGCAAGTCGCCATTTTACTAAATCTTTGGGTAACTGTGAGTCACTGTACGGTAGCTCATTAAAAGCCAAAGAACCAGCTTATTTTCGTTATTTTTGTGGTCAGAAGTCATTCAACCCAATCGTGCAATGTCTCTGATTCCCATTTCAGATTGCAGTTTTTCAACTACTATTCGTGTAACTTTTACTCCATTCACCGTAGGATCCCCTATCAACGAAAACTTTCCTATATACTACGACCAATATTTTTTGCTTCCTGTTTTTCAAAGGGAGCCCCAGTAAGTGGATTCTTGACCGAAACCCAGCTAATCTGTTGCGCACCCCTCTTGGTCGAGTTTTCAAGAACCTCCTGCGAGAACTCATGAAGGACACGCGCTTTAGTGTCGTCGAGCTCCTGAAACGACTGACCGTCGACGCGCGCAGGTGTTTTGGTGAGCGATAAAAATAAACTTTCAACAAACTGTTTGATTCCGTGAAGCCGTCGTTTTTATTATACGCATTGGATAGATTAGCTAAGTGACCACACTTGGTACCGTTTGCTTAACACAATGTCTGAAAATCTGACTTAATTTGTACAGATTTTCAGCTAATCTGCTTAATTTTAAAAAAGTAGAGGACAACGAACTTATTCTTGGAAATACTGTCCCCCGTCTTCAATGACCTTGAGCCATCCCCCAGGCAACGTACGAATGCCGTCCCGAAAGAAACTTGTAGGCTTCAAGACAGTAAAATAATCGATGAAGAATTTACGCACATCGTCCAGCGTTTTGAACTGCTTACCCACTACCACTAAGGCGTGCTGCTGCATCGACCAAAACAAACGGCAGTTGGAAGGGAGTCCAACTCTGGTGAATATGCCGTGTGTGGTGGAACTTTCCGTCCCAGGTTCCCAATCTTTGGAAGCACTTTTCCTTGTTGGATTTCGTGTAAAATGCAGTGCTGAATGTGCTGTTTATCGGTTGCCATCGTAAACTCTGCTATCGTGATAGCTTATGCAACTCACCTAGACTTGTCGTTCGGTGTTCTGAAATCTTGCTTTAGATCCTTTCAAAATCACAACAGACCTCGGAAATATTTCTGTTCTAAATGTAATTTTACGCTCGAATAAAGAATTTGTAAATATAAATAAATAAACTACCCACGTTTTTAAAAACGTTCATTTGATCTGTCATCACAGTGTAATAACTAGCCAAAATTTCAGTCAAACACTCGAAATTCAAAAATACTCGCCCACAATGCTATTCACGAAGTGGTACTTTTTGCTTGTCTTTGCTGTTTAACGTTATGAAAATACTAAATCCAGTGGTGGATTAGAAGCTTATCACAAATTGCGATTCACGAATAAAATAAAGGCTGTATTTGGCATTAGTTTACTTTTAATTAGAGTGCAGAACACTCGGTCTGCTGCGTAAAAATTTAGATTTGCTCGCATTGAAAGAAGAAGAAGACACAATACCACAATTGGAGTTTTCTCATCGGCAACTGCGGTCCTACTTGGATCAGTCCTTTCTGTCACTGGAGTTATTCCTCGCTGAAGTACTCGAAGAATTCTGTTGTTTACTGAAGTCGTCTCGGTCCTCTCTTGACACTGGACCTACTATTATCGAATTCGCCTTCAGAGCCTGTCTCCAAATTGACCATTGTCTTTCACTGCTCGAATTACTTCGTGGCGCACTGGGCTACCACGAGTCACTTATACGACCCTCAGACACCTCAGGATCGTGTGATGAATACCTTAACTCCCGATTACAGGAAGATTTCATCACCTCTTGCTTTGATCGTGTACAAAAGACCGCTCACAACCTCAAGGTATTGTCATGTATTCCCTACTGTGTGTTTTTAGATATCACAGAAGTGATATTTTGTTTAAAAGATGACGCAGGTTCAAGTCAAAATGTCGGGCGTTTTGCCCCGAAATCGGAATTATTTTCAACCCACACTTATGCCACAGCCCCCTGTCCCATAAAGTAAAGACGGTGTCTAAAAATTTGCACAATTTAGGGTAATAGCTGGTCTGTAAGCATACAACAGTGCAGCAAACAATAATTCTAGCTAGATTTAAGAGAAAAAGGTTGAAAGTATAGTCACTAAGACTTCTACACTCGTGTGTATTACCAAAAAAGCAAATTCGGATGGACTTGACTGCGACGCCGATAGATTTCACAATAACAAATTTTGCAAGGTTCCACATGTGGCTCTTAGGCAGGAATTGGTCTTTAATCCGGTGCACAATCGCTTACCGACGGGGCTTGACACCTAGTCCCACGAACCAGTACTCTCATTGTATTATTAGTTCTGATCCCGAAGTGTCTACAAACTTAACAATTTCGTGTGGAGATACCTTTCGCCAGTGTCCTATTTCCATTCGTAGGCTGGCCAGGCTGCTCTGCAGGCGGGCAATTCGCGTTTCTGGGCGAACTTAGCTTCTCAACAATCCTTCGCAATGCGTCAGGCTGTGCTCAATTACAAAAATGCAAACGTCGTAGAAGTTGACTGCCTCTGCGGCAATTTCATTCATATTGTCGAAAGAATTTATCTCCTGTGTTTCGAGAATACGGAAGCTAACGTCTCAGATGTCGTTAAACAAGATGCGTGTTTCTCGGAGTTAAATGCACAGCTTATCTCCTCTGCTCTACAGGCGATATTGGTTTGTCTAGAGCAGGGATTTCTAACAACTGTGTAAGCACTCTGATACCATTCCCTGCAGATACCGTTGTCTACGAATATTCTTGTCTGTGAAACGTGATTATGTTCACTGTTTTCTAGGCAATGTTCGGTCAGCAGTGCAACCTACCAAATTTATTCATTTCACTTCGGGAAAATGAACCTATCTTAGCAACAAAACTAACTATTTTTGAGCCGGTACTCTACTTTGCTTCAAATTTGTCCGCCCTGTTGTAATCGCAGACTAGATGACAAGAAAATTATAAATGCCATTCAGTCTCCACCTGTAGTAATTACTCTTAGTCGCCCTATAATTTAAGCCGTCGCCTAATGTTATCAAACCAGAATGCCACAATATTAAGTATCAGTCGCAAGTTTTCTGCCTTTTTCACTGATTCCAGCATCAACCCACAACTAAGTGGTAGATTTATAGTAATGAGTACGATGTGTATAATAACTTTAATGACAAGCCTCTTTAAATAACGCGATAACATTCCTCTGGATCAGTGTCTCCGTCCAAAATCGGACGAGTGTAAAACGCACCACTTCTGCTGATGGCACCAAACACAGGTCGCGACTACAGTGAGTGTGCGATTAATTAGGACTGGTGGTAGTTGCTTAATTGTCATACTCTGTTTTTTAAGCAAAGTGCACAGCCTTCATTGTCGAAATTCGTGGGATTCGCTTCATTTGCTTTGTTGTAGAGCTTGGTGGCTAGGTGCCGATGGCGCTGTGTACACATACAGTTGTCTCAATTTTTAATGTCATCTATAGGCCTATCCTATTTGTGGCATTACTGACATTTGAAGCGTTGTTTTTTTTTCACCAAAACCTCATTTTCTGTCCGCGAAATTTTTAACATTGACAAAACGCTTTTGCTTTTTGTCTACCTTTTTGGTTCGTTAGCGTTTATTGTTTTCATATATTCCATCAAAAATTGCATTCTGGTTCGTAATACACAAATGTTTCGGAATTTTTGGGAATGCATGTTATTTGCGTTTGCCTTGTCACGCGCGCATCTTTAACTCCGCGCACCCTTACGGATGTAGCAGGCAGGGTTCAATGGTGTGAGCGCGATTCCACCGAATTCTACTAGTTAATTCGCCGCCTTCTCGATTCAGGACCAGACCGGTGTGGGTCGAGGGGACGGCGAAGCGCCAGGGGCGTAGTCTCGGTTTTCGACACGGCTTCCAAAATGGTGCCTTGACAACGTCATGTGACACAGCTCGTGCAAGAAAACATGCTAACTGGAAATGCGTTATTTGCCATGTTATCAACGTCACTTAACGTAGGGGTGTTTAGTTAGTGAATTCTTCAGATATTCTTTCCTACATCTGCCCTTAATTATCACAAATATTCCAAAACGAAACTTTGGCTGTTGGAATAAGCTTCAAAGTACACCCCACGTAATACCAAGAATTTGAAATGTAGGCTCATCGAAACTAACGGCGGCCTGGAGAAATCGTGGGACCTGATGAAGTTTTCCAATAAAACAAGTTGTTAAACCTCAACTATCAAAATTATCCGGAATGTTTTGCCAATGAACAGAGCCGATTATTTGATTTTTTATGGTACTCCAAACACCTCATCTCATCCCCAAAAGCGCCCTTTTTGTGCGATCATTTTTCTTCCTACTTTTCCTGCACACCATGGCTCTTCGAAGGTTTTCATCAACTCAATTACATCAAGTATTTTTATATTCCTAATAGGAAGGCGTTTTTAGGAGCGATTATACAAAAACCTTTGACCTACCAAAAGCATCCCACCCAATGATTTTTTGAGAATAGTACATTTCAGCAATTTTTTTTTGGAAAGAACTGACAATTTTTTTCACGGTAAAGCATTGATTATTCAGAACTGGGGATTAGCCGATGGCAAATATTATTAAAAAGATTTGCTGATCGACCAAAACCCACTAGCTTGCATCTTTTTCCCCCGGCCAAGGCCTTGAATGTGCCATGGAGTAAATGTTTATTAAGGGTAAGTGGAGATCTGGATAGTGTTCATTCAGATTGGAAGTTGACTAATAATAGTTAAAAATTTTGGGTTTGTCGGTTCCCATAGAACTTGGTCTAGCTGCTTTATAATTCCACACGAGTGAATGTAATTTAGTCTGATTTCTTCGTGGTCAATAACCCAAGTGCCATCTGCGTGTGTTCCCAAGCAGAAAGTGCCCAATTTTTGCTTCCAATGAGCTTTGAGGATCGCCTTCCCGCTATTTTCACGTGCCATTTTTAAATTAAAACTGTTCATTTGAGGTGGCAGAGGAATATACCATTGTGGCCATTAATTTGATACCTTCTAAGGAGCTACTGCAGGAATGATATCGCATTCCATTTTTCAAAAGGCTGTTTACCAGAGTTCCCTAAAAAAACTGCGTCGCAATGGAGCATAATATCTCTTTCAGTCATTCTAAAATTATAACTATTGTGATCATTTTCGACGTAAGCTACCTTATTCCTACGACACACAATCTTACGGCGGTACATTTCTGTTTTCTCTTGTGTAAATTCATTATCACTTTGAGGACTATGGTGACTTTCAAAGATTACAGTAAAATCTGTGCGAAATGCTTGGCACTGTATCATGCTCAAATCATGCTGTGTAGCCTCATTCATCCTCCTTTTCCACACAATTCGTGTGTAAGGTGGTGGCAGTTTGTTGTGGGCCCCAGCATGTGGTCTTGAACCACTCCGGGGCCACTGAATTAACCCTGGCTCGATTTCGCTTCCCTGATACTCACGATGATGAAAAAGACCGGGGAGGACGTGGACACAACCGTTTTCTCCAGAGCTCAACCACGCCGGTGTCGTTGTGTTGTCCTCAGAGGTGCCCGAAATTACAGTAGAAACCCGCAAACATGGCGCTGAACAGCCTCGTGGGGTGAATTGCCACAGATCAAGGCATTGTATTAGATTGCAATTTTTAAGAAAAGTTACCAACTGACTTTGATTGTGGCAAAGTATTTTGACGGTGATTCTTCGACTGATGCTGACTCCCTACATTATTATCGTCAAAGTGGATTGAGTGCTCGTGTATAGTTGTTATTTAGTAGGTGATCTGGTTAACTTGGGCTGTTAATTTGCTATTCCTACACCAGGCCGCAGTTCTAATAATAGAGCAACTGCGTTTTGGCAACATTGTGTTAGGATAGTTACGTCTGCGGTAGCTGAGTCATCAATTATTCCTTCGATTTAAATTCTAAGAATTCCTTGAATAACTTGACTTTCATATTACATTTGGTTTCCCAGCGCCTAGAAAAATGGCATCCGTTGACGACTCAAACATCACTTGAAAGCGTGTTTCGCGATGCCTGACAGAGCGAATTTCCTATCCTCATTGTTTGACAAGGCGTTAAATGGAATATTCGTTGCAGCCGTAGCCCGAAACCAGATACTCTAGTAGTGCCTTTTTATGCTTATCAGAGTCTAAGTAAATCTGCTAAATTGTTGAGAAATTTTTTGGTATTTCACTATGTTTAGGGAAGCACTTTCAGTCAGTGAAATGCATTCACTTCAGTGCCTGCTAGCTAAAATGCTGGTCTGCATCGACCAGATCACCGCGGCTCAGTTTGTGGCCTCAGATAAACCAAGTCTCGTTTCCCGATGCACCGCCCTTGTTGTCCTCCTGCAGCCTCAAAGGTACGCCGTTTTCCTTAAAGAACACCTTAAAGTGCACTTTATTTCTAATCCGACCCGTAAGTCTTTAAACCATTTGTCAATTGTGCGTTTCTAAGACTGGTGGCTGTCACTAGAACGCATCCACGGCACTACTTAGCGACATTGTTTGTGCTAGTATTTTGAGCAATCGTTGGCTGCGTCTGCCTTCTAGAAATCGACTCATTACATGAGTAGTCTCAATGAAAGCTTCTTCTACGGAACACTCGTGTATGAGACATTATCAGATGCTGGCCTATCATCGGTGGCACTGTCTTCAGCTGTGAAACCAGACTAAAGTGCTGCTTTTTTTGAAAAGAGACACTTTATTAGAAGCTGAAGAAACGTGATTTATACCTTAAGGTTTTATAAATAACAGCGACGAAACTCCAAATCTGCGGCTATTAATTTTATCCACTTGTGTGTTCGGACGCGCCAGTTTCGGTTGTCTAGCATAAACCAATCAAGGACCAATGAAAACGGCAACCATCAAGCTTACAGATCGTGAAATACTCCTGCTTCAGCTCTTTTTCCCATTTTAATCCTTAATTAAAATAGTCAAACGCTAATACTAATAATCATAAATTCCTTGTATTCGGTAGATAAGATTTGTTTGCAAGTCAACGCTCCCCAAAGCTACCATTTTGCTAACCGTAGCGCTTAAAGGAGACCATCAATAACATGAATTGGTTAGCGGACCATTTTCTGATTTAAATGGGTGGAAATTTTGCATTTTAATATTGAAATTTATTACCTACAATGGATAACAGGTGTGCACATTAAAGGCATCCCTCCTTTTGGGCGGCTCCCCTCTAACAAACATCTTGAAACTCTCTACTACCTGTGATTATCCCTTTTTTCCTCAGAGCCAGTGGTAAGAGCCAGTCGATTTAATGCCGGGGGCGTGTTTTTTGGATTTTTTCCATTTAAACTTTCCCTTACAATTAGCTTCCTTCTGCGTGATGACAATCAACCTCAAACAGAAAAATTTTAATTTTTAGCTTTCTTTGCTTTTTAGACAAGTGAATCGTGAGCCTATTTTTGTCATTTCTACTTTTAGAAACGAACTATACGTTAGCAACCGACCAGGAAATATATCCCAAAATACCACTGATAGGAATTCAGCATCGCCAGTGAACAGGCCAAAAGAGGTAATCAATCGCTTCCACCAGTACTTCTCGGAGAACGTTTTCACGCGTTTCCACAGCTCTGCGACCTTCTCAGCACTCGGAACCCTCTCCACCAATGTGAGAGCCTTCTTTCAACACGAGGATGTTGTTTCCAGACCAGTGGGACCGTCAGCAGATGGCCACTTGAAGCGTACAGAAACCGACTGAACCAAGTTCACCTCCCAACTATCCCACTTCGGCCTAGTCCCCACTCACTCCACCTACTTCCCCTCTTCCTCTCAGCAGCCACCCAAATGCAATCGAGTACAAAATCTGTATGCAATCATTTCACTAGTGTATCCAGCTTTCAGAAAAAGCCAGTGTGAAGAATAATTCACTTCACCTAAGACTGCAGTATTTGTCCATAATTGTGGCTCTTTTATGAGCAAATAGATTCTACCAAGCACTCCGCAGTTTAAGGCGACCACGTCGTGTTTTGCATGCGCACCCTAACCATCCATGACCACGACTCATCCTTGCTGTCAGTGTGCGTCTCGATAATGAAGGCACAGCTGCTTTCATTCTGGGTTTCTCATCGGCCGTTAAGACTAATCCATCGGTGTGGCATAGTGTAAAAACCAGGCATTTTCACCGGTCGCACACATTTTTGGGAGTTGCAAAGGCGTCAGTCTCAGAAAGCTTTTATCCATGCAGAGGTGGACGCTTAAAGTACCTCGCCTAAAGTGTTAACTATTTCATGCCTGCTGCAACAAATTAAAGCCAGTGTATGACCAGTATCAAAAGGATATTTCGCATCCTCAAATCTCACTGCTGTCATGTGGACTAAAACAGAGTCAGCATTTACGAAATTCCGGCTCTAACGCACTGCCAATAGCTTTCAAAATATGTGCGATTGAAATGGCCATGGACCGTACGGTGGCTCGAGGCATATTTTGAACCTGAGTTCAACTACACCGGATCCTCGCCGTTACCCTAAAAATAAATCATATGAACAAGTCGTATCCACTGCAAGATCTCAATCGCTATTTAAAAAAAGCGTGAGCATTCAAGTAAATTCTTGGAATAAATTATCTTCACCAACTTAACATAGTAAACTCTGGGTCACTGTTCTCTAAAGGTTACCCGTAAGGATAATAATGTGATGGTTTGATATACTAATTGCCATTAAAATGCCTGCACAGGTACACTCACTGGTGTTAAAATGTCACTCGACGAGACACGTTTCCTTGCGGAAAAACATCCAATTTGTTTGGAGAAATCTTGGGTGCGTTCAATAAGTACAGACTGTTAGGGGTAAATGGCAGAAACGAGTAGTGAAAAAAAGGAAAATTTCTGGCAACCACGTGTACGGCGATTCGCACTGCTGCAAGTCTTCCTCCGTCAATTTTGGCATATTTAATGAGATGTTAATCACAAGAGCAAGCGCGGTTTCCAAATTCGAACAACTTAATTTGGCATCCTCCCATGGCCTCCTCCCAAGGCAAATCGTGAAAGGCCCATCCATGCAGCACGTCTTATGGTGCATAAATTACTAATAGCAATGCATTGTACAAATGTCGACATGGCGGATCACGGACTAATGAATCAATTGGTTCAAATATGGCGGATAAATTGTGTGGAGACATGACTCTTGCTGAGCTACACAGTGGTGCAGCATCAGGTAAAACAGGTTTGACAGACAGTGAATCTGGTTCATGGTATGAACAGGGTCATTAAGCTTACCGTATGGTGTATTACCTCCTATGGATCCGCAAAGTTTTCCATTTAGCCATAACTGGCTAGGCTTAGAAACCAAAAATGAACAAATACAAATGCCCACTATTAGTGCAGTCTCTTAGGGACTTCATAATCAACTTTGGCATAGCCTCCTTCCTGGTTGTATGAGGAGAGCATTCACGGCCAATTTGCCTCAAATCAAATTTGGTGAATTAATCATTTTCGCTGGTCTTTTTTAAGTTGAAGCGTTTTTGCATTTAAATATACTCGCTTTCACTAGGTCCAAATGAACTATAGTAAAAACTTGCAATACTTCGTGAATATTTTATTTTTTTTTTCAAATATTTACCGTGCATTTATTTCCCAATAAAGTGACAAATAAGAGGAAAACAAATTCAGCCTAAAAACAAGTAACTGAAATCGCGAGCTTGGGGAATTAAGCAAAATGGTAAATATTTCCAAATGGATTAGTGGAAAATATGCCATTTGAATGCATCTGAAGTACTTCAAAACACGACCTTAAAATTTTAAATTGGCTACCGTGACGGCATGAGTTTAACAGGCCGTGAACAACACAAAACAGGCAGGTGTTGAGCTCGAATTGGTGAGTCATAGTAAAAAAATGGGGACAACATGAAGAGATCTGCGATAAAATTTGATCGACTGGAACAAGATCAAATCCTTAAAAATGACTGGTAATAACCTTTGTCCCATGGTCCTCTGCATGATTAGTACCAGCTCCAGGACGCAGCTACCACGACATATGTGGACCAAATGAAATCCCCCCCATTCAATTGGTGATCAACCGTCATAACCCGGTATGAGGCGACCCCACGTATCCTACATATAAAAGGAAATCGCTTTGGCGGTGGCAGTGAGTTGATGGCTGTGAAAAAAATAACGTTAGAAAGCAAACGTGATAATAACTCTCGAGCAGAAATATTAGAGAGTAAAATCACCGTTAGTTCAGAAATGAGGCCATACAAAAGCGTCAGTTATGTTGTCGTAATTCATCCGGTCACCCAGTTACCAAATGAAACTTATTCCGTTTCTCTGTCGGAGCCTTAAACATGAATTTTTAACCTCGTTACCGCCATTTCTCTTCGCCCAGCTGGTAGATGTTTAACTCTGTAAAAGTCGGATTCACGCAGTCGCACTAGCAAAACGACGGCCAAAAAACACCGCCTTCCATCACAGGTGCAAAGAAACTTGAAAACGGCGGCAGTAAGGTCCACTTTCTGTCGACATCGAACAGTACACTTCGTCCGAGTATTAAAAGCCTCTACTGCACCATAGGTTGAACCTAATTAACTCGCCGTTTGAGTGACTCGAAGTGTGTTTGTGTGAGTTTGAACTGATTTCAAATCTAGGAAATTTTACTTGGGTAGATATCACAAAAAGTATTATTAGGCTTTAAAATATGCATTCTTTTAGATGTATTTGAAGACCTAGAAGCGCTTCACAGCCATGTAAATTGACTTAAATGCATAACGATCAGTTTGCATGATGCTACTTGTGTAGCCGTTCTTGTAACGTGTTCTTCCGAGAATCCCAGGCCTGCACAAACTCTAGGAGATTTCTTCTTGAAAATGTTGTTCTCCTTTGCCCAGAGAACGTGTTGAGTGCTTTTTGCTGCAGACGCCAGGGCCCAAAAGCTCTTTACCTCAAGTGCACGTAAGCGTGACATTTTGCTGTCGCTTATAAGAGATTTAACTTCTAAGGAGACTGCAAGAATGTTCCTGTTATTCCCTACTTTTTACTAACACGCTATGGGTAAATAAGCAGGCAGCGAAGAAATATAGATATTTTTTAGAAATGATACATGTTTAATCTAACTTTATTTGCATTCACATTCTTTTTGTGATAGATTTGAAGTAACATGTTCTACAGTGCTAAAAATCAATTGCATCTGAGGCTACTTCAAATTTCGACTAGAACCTTTGCACGGTACCACAGAATTCGCAATTAACCCCCCCCCCATAGTTTTTCTACATTTAACGACTGCATTGACACTTAATCAGTTCCTCCACTCATCTTTTTTCACAGATCTGTTTATTTTCTTGAGTAAGATTAAATGTACACGCGCCTTGCCTATCTTAGAACGCGTTTTTTGGAGTTCAAAGTATTTTACAAAGTTAAAGCATCACTTGCTCCTTTTGCGCATTTTACCAGCATGGATAGCCAATAAACGGATTTTTAGTGTGTATAATTTGCTGTTAACACATCCATAGCCGGCAAAATATTCGTATTTATACTTTTAAAGCAACAAGTTTTGCTAGCCCACGAAAAAAATAGTTAAACGCAAAATGCGTTACCATTGGCTTATCTTAATTTAGTCCTTAACAAACATGCGCCTATGCTACATTTCGCTGCATTCGATACACTTGCCAATTAATTATTCAGCTCTAGGCCCTAGCATCAGGAAGGTATGCACTTCAAGCATCCACAGAGGATACTTGAGGATACTTGGGAGAAAAAATGGGGCTTATTCAAGGTGAAATTTGACTTCAAGTAGCACAAACGACGCCTGAAGAGGTGGATGAGGGCTCACGTCTTATCTGTCGCAGTTACTACTCACCTTACAAATAAATCTGAGTTCCTCGCTAATCCAGTCGTCCACATAGAGTACCAAGACTTACGTGGTCAACTTTTTTAAAAATTAAATATACAAAGATTTTTTGTGGAACAAAATCGTCAGAACGGCGTCTGCTGAATGCACAGGACATTTTTTAGTTACATTTTTTTGCCTAATCGTTGTCCTTCTAAGTACGCTGACATCGAGAAGCATTAAGAAAGCGACAAAACACTGGCTGACATTAAGTGCAAGACGCTAGACTTCGGATGAGTTGGTGATGCTTCTCCTTAATAGAATTGCTTTGGTTGGCTAACACCGGTGAAGTCCTTTGCTGTTGTTTTCTTCAGGAATCGACTTTTTCGAGTTTTTATGGTTGATTCTTGTTAGTAGCGTTCAAAAAGTAGCTGAGAGAAAACACAGTGAATCTGTTGCAAGTCAAATTTGTTCTTCTTTCTTTTATGTCGTACTGAGGTGTTTACCCTTAAAAGTTACTCCAAGCAAACTTAAAATGTCTTTTACCAGGAGAGTTTTGCGTCTCCTTGTTTGCAGACACATCTGCGCAAGTCTCGAATTCAAAAATCAGATTCCCTCCTTAATCTTATCGATACCTTATCCTTTATGAAAAAGATTTGATTAAACATTAGCCGGTCTTTCCCGGCACCTAAGGGTTTAATTTCTGTTAGTTCAGTAATCATATTTCCTGGAATGGGGTTTCTCCGATGAACTGAATATGTTGTTATTTTCACAATTAAAAATATTGAGTTTTTATGTTAAGGAATTCGGAAATATATATAGCGTGAAGTGCAAACGACAGCGTGACCTTCTTCACTCCTAAGGATTGCCAGCCACCTACCACATATCTTCACATTTAACAATGTCCAGGTTATTGTTGTAAAGATGGCTGACCTCCCCTCACCACAGCTGAACGCATCATCCAAATTGCAGTTGTCAAGTGCCGTAACTGACGTGTTACCAAATTGAAACAACTCGCGACACACAAGGTCTTAGTGCTTTTGGCGTTAATTTTCTCATGGACAAAAACTCTTAGCGAGGCCCGCAAGGAGGCAAGGGAACACGAAACGGAAGACAGTTCGTAGTGACTTGAGGAAGAAATTACACACAGACCGTGGATGTAATTGGACTCATCGAATCACTCTGGTCCTTCTCAGACACAGTATTGATTGTGTCGTGAGTGTCCTAGCTTCAGCGAACAAAGCTACTAAGGATGGAGGTTGAACACGCTTTTGGTCGCACTCTCGCACAGGGTTCCCTCTTCCTCTCTGTTCATGAAGCAATCTGATTTGGGTGCAGTCAAAACCTTGTCGATTAAAGTTATTATCGAAATCAGACTCTTTAAATAACATTTTGTGTTTTATGGGTTTTATATATTCCCTTTTGAGCTTTCGGGAAATGCTATTAAATTTCCATTTTGATAACCATTTCTGCTATTGGCATCGAGTAATTATGGGACTTGATAGGGTACCCCAAAATTGTTCGCATGCAAAATCAAGCCTACTTATAACACATAAATAAAAATGTTATTATCTTCGAAATACTTTGGTATGATGCAGAAAAGATGACCAACCATGACCGAAAGCTTTCATTAGCTACTTGCACTTTGAGGATCCAGACGTACTTGAGACTGCTATACGCAAATAATATTGACTGAAATTGGGCAGTCGAACACGTCTTTAGCGTTTCCATTGTTGGAAAGAAATGCATTGTTTCTAGCATAATTAATAATAGGGACCTATGGGAAAAACCAACTATTAGTGCCAAAGCCAAGTATATTACTGCATGTGGAACCCCTCATCTATTTTCAACAAATACGCGATGGATAATTTTTAACAAATAAACAAAAGCTTCAATGTAATTTCTGTTAGATTATCTAAAGTGCAAGATTTTTGTTGTCCCCTTGGTTGTTTGAGGTCGCAAAATGTCCTCCCCAGGCTTCGTCTCTATCTGCGTATTGAATGAAGCACAGTCAATGGAATTAACTAACAACGTGTGGTAAATAAGTAGGTTCTTAATCAAAATGAAGCAAAGGCATCCCAGCTACGTCATTGCTGGTACTCGCGGTCTGTATACCAAAGCGCGATAGTCAACACTTCGATTGAAAGTGAGAGGTTTGCTGTTCGACAGCGCACACGCCTTTTCCTGTCACGATTTTGTAAGAAATTCTCCGTGGCTTGTTTGGTTTTTGGTATTTTCTACAATAAATCCTTATTCTTGCTATGGTTTGCTACTTGTTGCAGGTAACTGCATTCACCAGCAGTCTCTTAAGAAAAGCACTAGCCCCAAGAATATGCTAACCTCGACGGAAAATAATGTTCTGGCCAATCTGCTTTGTGCGTTTATTGTATATCTAATCTTCAGAAAGATCAAAAAAGTGGTAATTAGGAGCACCTAATTAATACAATGTTATAACGTCAATTTTAAAAGCATCCCATTCTAGTAAAGACTGTTTCAGACGAAACCGTATACCTCGGAATACCCAGCCTTCCAGCTGTTGCTGAAAACGGCCGTCGATCATCGTCGCGTCGTCCACACCACCCAACTGACATTTACACTCGTGGGCAGTTGGCTGATGGACAGGCCAGGGGGCAAACTGTTCTGTCATTTCCTGCACGCTTAGACATGGACATGACATATGCTTCTGTGATAAATCTTGGACGTTCTAAATTTCGAAAATCTGGAAACTGTTTACTCTGGTAAAAGAGCTCTACTGTCAAGAAACATATGGTGCTTCTACCATTGCGTGATTCCTATTCTAATAGACACTGGCAGGACGTTAGAGTCTGGCTTAAAATATGTCGTCTTCACATCCCACTAAAACACATCGACTGCTTTTTTTCAGGGTTTTCCCCTGAAGTTACAGTTGGTGCAAGAGTAATGATTGTTTTTCAATTTACAAACGAATGGATAAAAGGTTAATTTAGGCATCTTCTCTTATCATAGGTTTGAATGTTGAATTAGCAGTTTTGTACCAATTTAAATGAAGGCTTAATTCCGATGTAAGTGTGATATTCTTTTTTGGCCTCATTAAGGTTAGAAAATGCCTCTTGAGCGAAAGTGAGCCGAGGTTTTGCAGAGCCTCAAATCACAGTAGAGCTATCTTACTGATTGAACTGACTGACAATGCCTTCTCCTGCATCGCTATATCAGCACATTCCGAGAAGGGACTGCAGTGGGCTTTCTTCAAACGAGCTCGAGTGATCGAATGTCATCGATTTTCGATTACACTTGACGTTCAAGATGCACTCACGTGCTGTGCTATAAAAGACTTGGGTGGTCAAATGCAAACAAATCAGCATATTCGCTATCATCGATCTTACCTTTCTCCTCGGGATGTTGAGGACCATCAACTAGAAGGGTTGGGAGGTAGTGCTAACCGAGCCGCTACAGGACTTTCATGTTCGAGAGCATTACCGGGTCCATCAAACTTGCGGCTAGATATTTTTGCTATAAAGAGACCACGTGGGAGGGGATATCGTCACGCCGTTTATCCACTATGCACCACTTCTGTATAAGACCAAAGGCAAAAACGTTTTGACGACCATGCTGATTGAGGAACAATACGTGTAGGTAGACATCACGCAACAGTCGCGCCAATCTGGTTTACCGCAGTCGCCGACTTTGACCATCTGCGATCCACAGCATGGACTTGGAGAAGCCTTCTACGAGCAAAAGGGTCTCGGTAATACAAACAACTTACCACAGCCAAACCTTTCCTCCGAGTTATATTAATACAAGCTCTTATTTGGTTTGTGGGGACAGGACTTCACGTTGGAACAATTTTTACTGTGTGTCCACTTGTAGTGGATTGTGCTCGCCAAGAATTCTTGGAGACCAGAGCACTAGCCGTTCGAAAATGCAGAACTTCAATGACGTCCAATGGGAAACAGCTGATGGTGGGTCTTTCATGTCAGATTTTTGTTTATGGTCTTTTTACTTCCTGGGCGAAATTTGGGTCATTTGCACAGTGGCCAGTAAATGGGAGATTGGTTAACCGGACCTTCGTATGACCCTCGCAGTTGGCTAATTCATTGTTGGTAATCAGCTGTATTTGGGTGGTTTACTAAAGGATTACTTTTCTAATTGCATCCGTTTGCGAAATAATATTCCTTATCGAATAACTAGGGCGTTGTTATTTTAGGATACAGGGAACCCTAAGCACTGGTTTTGTTTTTCTACAGCAGTGAGTGATGTCTTCGCCAATTATATGTCCGGATGGTTCAGCATTTAATCGAAAACTGAAAACCCCTGTGTGCCATCGAGGTGCACACAATCGTACTGCCCAATTTTTTCATGCACTCCTTTTGGCCGAAATGAGACGCGGTCCTCTGACCAAAGTGAAAGTGGCAAAAGTCTGACATGCAGCTTCACCGTCTTTAGAATACTTGGTTTGCTTTAATCTCTCCCACTCGTCACATTAGTTAATTAATTCCTTGGATTCGTTTCAATGAAAACTTGCAAATATTGCACTTCATTTTATATTGATGAAGTAAAGCAATGTGCAAAGCTGATCGATGTGAACAACTACGTTTGCCCATTTCAGAATGCAACGTGCCACTGCTGCAACAAGAAACTACTACTTGCTGCCTTAGAAGCGTCGATTTGAAATATAACATAAGTGAGATCTTAATAACGTCCTCTTTCACAAATGTGTCTTGGAGTTTGGAGCTTAGGGTTTTTGAGGTAATTGTGTAAATTTTTGCCAACAAATCTTGACCAGGTCATTAGGAATTCCTAATTTACTTGACCGCCATGAATTGTAAGAGCACTGGTTCGTCGTGGAATACTACCATTACCCTCTGCACCGTGCAGGTGACCCTTTCTGTGTAATTCACGTCTGCCACTACAACTGCACAATTTGGCGTTAAATTCATCATTACTTTTACGAGACATTCAGACAATCACTTCTAATTTCACTTTAATTCGACGTACCAAAGAAGTCGAGGAACAGATCATCGGCTTCCAGCACGTCGTAATTGGATTGGCATGCGTCCAAGTGAGTGATGGGCCTGGATACCCGAGGCGACCTGCCCGCCCCGAGTGTCTGGTTCTGTCTCGGTTGCACGCAATTCGACGGCGTCTCTCTATTATTGATAGATTGGAGAGGGGGGTGCGAGTGAGTGAACTGACATTTCATTGCATTCAGCCTGTTATCCTGTCAATCACGGCTCCTTCTGAAATTCGGGGCATCACCAGCCCACACGATTAGTCAATCGCTGCTGGCTGGGGTGTCGACGAAGGACCTTGGAAACTGTGCTTTTCGGTTACTCCAGCAAAAATGTAATTTAATCACAGTTCCACATAGAGTGAATGCCGACAGTTCTTTGGTGACGTTGACCTAGCTTTCTGTTCTAGCAGGTGCCGAAATAACACAACAAATCGCAAACTCATTGTGCCGCAATAATCCAAAAATATCACGGATGGGTTCACACACAACTGAACGGGACTTCATTGAAACTGATAACGTCTGACTGGTTGGTGCAGTGATGGAGTTACTGAAATACTGAAATAGAAAGTGTCACACACTGTTAATCCATGCCTGCTTCCACGCTGCAAATGTTGCCTCCATTCACCGATTATCAACATCAATACAGAACCCAGCTCCATATCTGTGCCTTGTCCACCCTGTGAAACCAATATTAAAGATTAAACTTGGATGTATTTTTGTTTGAATTTACTAATAAAATGGGAAGTTTTTAATCTGCTCACCGACATAAACCACGTTGGACGAAACATACAGACTTCTTCAGCTTGGTTGGCCCACTGCTTACACCAGGACCATAGATATGGCCCAGTTGAGGTCAGCTGACATCCCAATTTACATCAATTTTGACAGACACTACTTCCTGTTTTTGTTGTCTTTAACTCGTATCCCATCAAATGTCCCGGAAATGAGAGCTAGGATCTTGTCTACTAATAACGCTCCCTATTACTCTGGTTTTCACAGAATGTCTTGCTTAAAAATACTGCAGTGGGGGACGTAGTGCCAACAACAACTGTGCTCACTTATTGAAACAATTTGGAATACCACTTTCTTCGTCTAACCAAAATCCCTATTTTCGTTGAGACCTCCCGCAGGATTGGCCCTTGTGAACCAAGATTGCATAGAATTTACAACGTTTTTAAACAGTCGGTGGTGTGTTTATTTTATTGAAATTCTTACCTCTACCAACTGCCAAGTCTATTAAACTACTGGTCATTACGGGAATATGACTGTCACTTATTCATTTGGCATTTATCCTGGTAACCTTGAATTTTCACCGATTGTCCTACCATTGTTCGACGTGCACGACTTTGGTAAGCGCATCACTGCATCGCTGTGACCAGCAATCGCTGTTTCCTCCACAATCCCACCTCACACATCACACGATTTATCTCACACCAACAACCTACTTGTGAACGCTCTCAGTTGCTTAGTTCTCACGAGCCACTGTCTCCTGCGAACTGC